GAGTGTTCTTCCTAAGACACTGATGATTTGAGTGTGAACGCCCCCATAGGCTCCTGTGCTCAGGTGTTTGCTTGCTTAGTCCCCAGCAGTTGGGAAGGATTAGGAGGTGTGGCCTTGTTGCAGTAGGTGTGTCACTGTGCCTGGCTTTGAGGTTCATAAGCCCACACCCAAACCAGGGCTCCCCCAACTCCCTCCCTGCCTGTGGATGAGGATGTGAGCTCTCCGTGCCACGCCTGTCTGCTTCCTGCCGTGGTGATAGTGGACTAACCCTCTGAAGTTTTAAGCAAGCTGTCAAATAAATGCTTTCTTCTATAAAAGTAACCTTGGTCATGGTGCCTCTTTACAGCAATGGAGCAGTGACTAACACCGTGACCTAGTTTACCTCCATGGCTTCAGTTAGCGTGTGTGTTCTCACAGTCGGCCTCTCCTCTGAGCTCAGGAGCCTCTCGGCACAGTCGTGTCTGCTCTTGGATTTCTTTCTGGTATCTCACAGATACAGCCCATATTGAACTCAGTGTTATCTTCATGTGCTTTTTAGCATTCCCTTTATTTATTTATTATGTTAGTGTTCTGAGATCCAGAAAACATCCTTAACTTTCATTATTTAACTCATTACATGAATAAATAAATAAAGCCAGGAGGTGGTGGCACAAGCTTTTAATTCTAGCACTCAGGAAGCTTAAGCAGACGGAGCTCTTTGAGTTCAAAGTCAGCCTGGTCAACACAGTTTTCAAGGACAGCCAAGGCTACACAGAGAAACCGAGTCTCAAACAAACAAAAAGACTTGTTTCAAACTGGGCATGGTGGCGCAGAGATTATAATCTCAGCACTTTGGAGGCCAAGGCAGGTAGATTGTGATGAGTTTGAGGCCAGTCTGGGCTACACCGTGAGAAAAACAACAATAGCAAAGAACCCCCCAGACAATCAAAAAACTTTAACCTCCAAAATAAATGTTCTGTCTTCCATTTTTGTTGCCCCTGTCCCTGCCCATGTTTCAACAGCCTTCTTTTCCATCGAATTAATTTAAGGCTGGCCTTGAACTTGTGGTCCTCCTGAATCTACCTTCCAAGTACTGGAATTACAGGAACTTGACACCATGCCTGCCTTACAAATCCTTTTAATAACTCTTGTGTGCAATTCACTGCTGTCAGCCTTCAAGCAGTGCTGAACCAAGCAGAGACTCTGCTGTCCTGGAGTTTACCTAGTTTTAAATGATCAAATAGTATTAACAGCAAATGCCGTAATATAATAGGTTAAAATGGTATTAATTGCATAAGAATGTTAAGGGGCAGCTTAACATTAAATAAGGCATCCGGTGGAAGCTGCTCTGAAGATGTGGCCTTCAAAGTTTGGCTGCGATGATGGGGAAGAGCCAGTCTTGTGACTGGAGGATGAGCATAGAGCGCCAAGAACAGCAGAGCTCCATGGGAAGCACTGAGCTGAGCAGTGAAAGCCCCGGGTGATGGAGAAGCAGACAAGGTCATAGGGCAACTGCCAGCACAGTGAGGGCTGGAGAGAGGGCTTGGTCATGGTCAAGAGCACTGGGTATCTTCCAGAGGACGCGGGTTTGATTCCCCGCACCCATATGGCAGTTCACAACTATCTCAACTCCAGTTCCAAGGGATCCAAAGCAGCCTCTGGCCTGTACGGGCACCAGTAGCACACATGCAAAAAACAATTTTTTTATTATTTGTACAGTGAGGTTGGAGGACTGAACACGGGATTTATAGACCATGGCACCACATAGGAGTGGTTAGAAAGCTCTCTTCCCTAATTTTTAACACAATGGCTGTTGTTCTTGTTTTGAGATCTCGTGTGTCCAGGCTAACCTTCAACTTACTATATAGTTGGGGGTGACCTTGAACTCTGATCTTTTCTTCACCATCTGAGTGCTATGATTGTAGGCCTTAATCAGCGTTCTCATTTATGTTAGCTCAGGATGGAATCTGAACTCTGTCCACAGCCTCAGTGACCTTTCATTCATTTGCTGTAGTGTGTGTAGAACGTGTATGCGTGTGTGTGCTAAGACATGTGAGTGTTTGCGTGTGGAGGCCAGAAGCCGACACTGTGTGTCTTCCTCCATTGCTCTTCACACTGATTATTTTGAGGTAGGAGCTCTTACTGACCCTGGAGCTCATTGATTGGCCAGATTGGCTGGCTGCTGTTGGGCGCTGGAGACCGTCTTTGTCCCTTCAGCACTGGGGTTGCAGGTACATGCCACACGTGCTCTTTAAGAGTGTTGGGGATCTGGACTCAGGTCATCGTGTTTGCACAGCAGGCTCTTTATCTGATGAGCAATCTCCTTATCCCCACAATGATCTTTTGACTGTGCCGCTCTTGCTCAGATCTTTGCCATACAGGCCAGGCAGTGGTGGTAGACGCCTTTAATCCCAGCACTAGAGAGGAAGATGAGATGAAAGGAGGCAGGTCTCAGCTCAGTCTGCCGTTGCCCAGCCTTGGTAGAGGTAAGACTTTTCTAGTGGCTTGGCTGTTTTGCTTTTCTGATCCTCAGCTTGAACCCCAGTATCTGTCTCTGGGTTTTTAATATTCGCGCTACAGTTGACATACTTGAGTTAACAAGAACAGTTAGCAAGAAGTGGAGCTACAGAAGCAAGGTTAATTGTGGTGATATTTTGTTTGTGCTGTACAAATAAAGCTTGCCTGAAAGTCAGAGTGTTTATTCTTCCCAAAATATTTTTTTTGTTTTGGTTTGGTTTTTTTTGAGACAGGGCTTCTCTGAACAGTCCAGTCCTGGCTGTCCTGAAACTCACTTTGTAGACCAGGCTGACCTCGAAGTCACTGAGATCCACCTGCCTCTGCTTCCTAAATGTTGGTATTAAAGGCATTTGCCACCACCACCCTGCTCCAAAACGAGTTTTTAAAGTAAACTATATTATCAGCTTATGTTGTACGAGCTGTGTCCACATGATAAAACAAGGAATGACATTAAAACACTGGAAATGAGAACATGATATACCTATAATGTCTTCATGAAAGGTGGTGGTGCACGCCTTTAATTCCAGCACTTGGGAGGCAGAAGCAGGTGGATCTCTGTGAATTCAAGGCCAACATAGTCTAAAAAAGAGAGTTCCAGAATAGCCAGAGCTGTTGTTACAGAGAAACCCTGTCTCAAAAAACAAAAAGCACACAAAAGTCGTCAAGAAACCTATTATTATACCAATTTTTAAAAAAGTCACACTGGGGTACTGGAAAGATGTTTCAGCAGTTAAGAGCACTTGCTGCTCTTACAGAAGACTTAAACTCAGTTTCCAGCACCTCCATGGTATTTCAGAACTGCCTGTAAGAGTTCCTGGGGATCCAACATTCTCTCCTGTGCTTTACAGACATGGTACACAGACACACAAGCAGGCAAAACACTCATAAATCTTGAAAATATTTCTGTGTGCATACAAATCTATTTGTGTTAGCTTGTCATCACTATAATAGCTGAGATAAAAGGTTTATTTTGGCTCAGTTTTAGAGGTTATAGCCCATGATCAGACAAACTCAGTGCTTCCAGGTCTCTGGTCGGTTTGCCAGATGGCAATAGCTGATGTACACATGATAAGGCCAAACTGTTCACCTCAAGACCAGGAAGCAAGAGAAAAAACAGACCTGGAGTCCCACAATCCTCTCTGAAGTACACCCTCAAAATGATCTAAAGATTTCCCATAAGGCCCTACTTAGTTTCTACTACCTTCCAATAATACCTCCCTGGAAGCAAACTTTTAGCCACATTAATCTTTGATGGCTACTTTGTATTTTTTTTAATTTAATTTATTTATTTATTAAAGATTTCTGTCTCTTCCCCGCCACTGCCTCCCATTTCCCTCCCCCTCCCCCAGTCAAGTCCCCCTCCCTCGTCAGCCCAAAGAGCAATCAGGGTTCCCTGCCCTCTGGGAAGTCCCAGGACCACCCACCTCCATCCAGGTCTAGTAAGGTGAGCATCCAAACTGCCTAGGCTCCCACAAAGCCAGTACGTGCAGTAGGATCAAAAACCCATTGCCATTGTTCTTGAGTTCTCAGTAGTCCTCATTGTTCACTATGTTCAGCGAGTCCGGTTTTATCCTAGGGACCTCTAATCATTCGCTTTACCAGATAAAACTGTGTTCTGCGAGAGCGCGAGCTATCCTAAGGGAAGCTACTTTATATTTTAACTTTATATTTTGATAGATGAAGTCATACTATCAATATTCATGTATGTACATCAATTACCAGAAAGGGTAATCATATTGATGACATGAAATAAAAGAAAATCTGTATCTTTTTAACTTATCATACACTCTAACTCTAAGATGAAATCCAAACGCAACCACCATCTGCCAGGTAGACTTGTTTGTCCAAACCAACTGGAGACAGTAAGTAGAGAAAAAAAGACTGGATTCTCCCTCAGTGACAGGGTTTCTTTATATAGCCCTGGCTGTCCTGGAATTCACTCTGTAGCCCAGGTTGGCCTCACACACAGAGATCCACCGGCCTCTGCCTCCCAAGTGCTGGGATTAAAGGCGTGCACCACCACTGCTCAGCATTAGGGAACATTTTTTGGCTCTTGGAGAAGGCTGGGGTCTGATTCCCAGCACCTTCATGGTGACTCAGTATCATTTAAACTTCAATTCCAGGGGATCCACCAACCTACTCTGGCTTTTGTAGGCACCAGCACACACATAGGGAACAAACACACATGAATACACACACACACACACACGGGAAACACCCATACAAATAAAAATAATTTAAAAAAGAAAATGGAGCCGGGTGATGGTGGCGCACGCCTTTAATCCCAGCACTCGGGAAGCAGAGGCAGGCGGATCTCTGTGAGTTCAAGACCAGCCTGGTCTACAGAGCTAGTTCCAGGACAGGCTCCAAAGCCACAGAGAAACCCTGTCTCGAAAAACCAAAAAAAAAAAAAAAAAAAAAAAAGGAAGTAGAAAATTGACTCCCCAGGTTGTCCTCTTACTACGAGTACACCATGGCATATGCATACAGAAAAAAAAAATTTTTTTCCCAGAAGAGTCTGTAACTATTTCCCATTCATATCAAATAATTCTGATTCACTCATGACATGAGTGAATGTGTCTATATTTTAAAGAATACGTGCTTTAGTTCCAGGACAGGAACCAAAGCCACAGAGAAACCCTGTCTTGAAACCCCCCCCCCAAAAAAAAGAATATGTGCTTATATTTAAAGAGTATCAAAAACTTATATGTAACACAATGAATATCACATGGCGAGTCTAACTGTATACTGAGATTAGTTTTGGGTCAGCACTCTTCCTCTTGTTCTTGTGACTGTTTCCGGAAATTCAAAGACGCTCCTGCCTTTGACGAAGGAACAGTGATGGCAGCATCTCGAAATCCCTGAGGCTGCAAGATGAAGGATACACAAATACATTTAATGAACATTTAAAGTAAAAATTAATTTTCCAAATAGTTTTTTTTCTGGTATTTTTGTGACAGGGTTTCTCTGTGGTTTTTGGAGCCTGTCCTGGAACTAGCTCTTGTAGACCAGGCTGGTCTCGAACTCACAGAGATCCGCCTGCCTCTGCCTCCCGAGTGCTGGGATTAAAGGCATGCGCCACCACCGCCCGGCCCCCAAATAGTTTTTAAATTACACTGAATAAGGATGTTCTCTAAGACTCCAATAGTTCAGTGATGAGGCCCAACACCCTTTTGCCTAAGTTAACAACAAAAAGTTCTCTAAAAAGAATCCTAGTAAGCCGTATGGTACCTGCCGGGAGAAGTGGAAAGTAGTCTGATCTGCTATTTATCTGATTTACAAATCATCTTCACAATAATTGGCATGTGGTATGCATCTGTAATAGTAAGCCCTCAGGTAGCTGAGGCAGGAGGATCAAAAGCTCAAAGTCAGCCTGGACTATATATATATATATATATATATATATATATATATATATATAACAAGACCTCTTCTCAAAAAGACAAAACAACGGGAAGTTAGTGAAAGTAAGGGCCGTGTAAACACTAAGTGAAGAATTCATTTTCAGAACTGGTTTCCATTTTTCTCTCTATCCTTACAAGATGGCTGCTTAGTGTGGTGGCTCACACCTTTAATTCTAGCACTCAGGAGGCAGAGGTAGGCCAATTTCTGAGTGTGAGGCCAGCCTGGTCTATAGAATAAGTTCTGGGACAGCAAAGGCTATGTAGAGAAACCCTGTCTCAAAAAAAAAACAACAACAACAACAACAAAAAAACCAAAAAACAAGGGTTGGAGAGAATTGGCTCAGTAGTTAAGGGCACTTGTTCTTGAGAAAGACCCAGGTGGAGGCTCACCCTCCTTGGACACCAAGCACACAAATGGTATACAAATGATATATAAATTTTAAAAATATATTGAATAATGAAGCTCAAGGTCATGATTAGCTTTGTAGTGAGTTTGAGGGTGACTTGGGCCTGGTGTCTAGTGATGTAAGTGTTCAGGAGAGTGACATAAGTGTGACAGCTACTACAGACCAAATACTAACACCAGCATTATCCTTTCTTGTTGTTGCTGATATTTCTGAAACAGGACCACATACTTTTTAGGCTGCTCTTGAACTCCTGATCCCCGTCTACCTCAGTCTCCTAAGTGTAGGCCATCATGTCCAGTTGTACCTTTTCCTTTCTGAAAACTTTTAACATAAAAATCTGTAGGAGATTTTACAGATGCCATGAAACATAAATATTTCCTCTGTTCTCTAAGATAATTTTTTTTCTTTTTCTTTTCGGTTTTTTTGAGACAGGATTTCTCTGTGTAGCCCTAGCTGTCCTGGAACTCACAGAGATCTGCCTGCCTCTGCCTCCCAAGTGCTGGGATTAAAGGCGTGCGCCACCACCGCCCACCCGTAACTACAGTATTCTGTTAGTACTGTTTTGGTGATGTTCTCCCACCAAAACTGTCTTCAAACATGCTTGCTGCTTATAAGATTAACAGAAACCATTTGTACATGACCCCTTCAGATATTTACTGCCCACCAACACCAAAACCCCACTCTGATTAAATAATACTAACTGTGATCTGAAATGGTATTGTGGACTCCTTCTGGCTTGGCGACTTGTACAATGTTGCAAATCTGTTTGAAGTAAAAAATACATATAAACATTACTTTAATAATTAGGTTGCATGGCTGATTTCATAATTTAAATGTGCAGAATCTTATCAAGTGTTCTCGAGAACATAATTGTAGAGAAATATTAAGAAACAGAAAACCTTCCCTCACGGGTTACCATGCGGATGCCTTTAGCTTCAAGTAGGCAGAGGTAGGATTTTTTTGAGCCCACAAGTTCAAGGCAGTCTGTGTCTTAAAACAAACAAAATCCTTCTTTAAAAAAAAAAATTCCATGTAAGCATGCAATAACTAATACATCCAATAAGGTTGTTTGTATATATAAAAATTTAATGACAGATTTAAATAAATAAATTACTTGATATGCAATGCTACTTATGCTAAAAATTAAAAGTGGTGAAAAATATGTAACAATAGGAAGGTACTAATGACACATGTCACTAGGAATATAGTAGTGTTTGATGAGGCTCTAGGTTCAATCCAAAGCACTGCCAAAAAAGAAAAACTGCTGGACAGTGGCAGTGCACGCCTTTAATCCCAGCACTCAGGAGGCAAAGGCAGACAGATCTCTGAGTTCCAGGACATCCAGAACTACACAGAGAAACCCTGTCTGGAAAAGCAAACAAAAAGACAAAAGACAAAAAAAAAAAAAATAAAAAAAAAAGGAAAAAAAATAAAAAAAAAATGCTAGAAGCAGCCGGGCGGGGGGGTGGTGGCGCAAGCCTTTAATCCTAGCACTTGGGAGGCAGAGGCAGACTGATCTCTATAAGTTAAAGGCCAGCCTGGTCTACAGAGTGAGTCCAGGATAGTCAGGGCTACATAGTGAAACACTATCTCAAAAAATTAAAAAAAAAAAAGAAAGAAAGAAGAAAAGAAAGGAAAATTAGATAATCTTACAAAAAGTACACAAGTCATCTTACATCTCCAGTATGTGCCAAAAGGTGTCAAGTACATCTGAATTTTTGAGGAAATTATTAAGAAGCGATAACCTCGACTGCTCACTCACTCTGGATGCAAGGAATATGGCCCAAGGGCTTTCTGAGATTGAGTATTCCTATGTGCCTCAGACTGGCCATGAACTCCCAACCTTTCTCTCAAGTGCGTCTACCATGCATGCCCAAGTCAAAAAAAAGAGTAAGATTTTTAAGAAGCCTTTATACATTTAGTACAAATCATTAAATTAACACTAGATGTGGCGGATTGTGCCTATAATGCTAAAGCAGGATGCAAGAGGATTGCTAAGAGTTCCAGGCCAGCTTGGGCTATAGAAAGGAAAAAGCAACCCTAAGGTCAAAAGGGAATTGATCAACCTTTTAAGTTAGGATACTCTCTTCAAATTTCTAGGTAAAAAAATCTTTGTACATCATGTCAGCATCTCAAAAAGATCTTTTTTCAAGAGATCTTTTTAAACTAAACCAAAAAGAATCACTTGGCTCACAGCCCTAGCTGAGATGAAGCTTAACATATGGCTGAACTACATAGTTTGGGTCAGGAAGAAACAAGACAGAAGTACAATTTGTGCTCTAAAGCTGAGCACACATATGAAATGCTGTGTGGGGGTGTCAAGTATTACTCCACTCTACCACCAGATCTTCTTGGCAACGAAGGGTATAATTCTGAACAATCTTGGCCTCATATCATCATGAATATGCAAATTGGGGAACCCACATAATGTAAGGACACAGACATAATCATTTAATTGTTGGAATGCCATTCTGTCATTTGTCAAAGGTTAAAAATCAGATGTTGCTGGGTAGGAAGTGTTGGGGCATATCTTTAACCCCAGGACTGGGGAGGCAGAGGCAGGTGGATCACCGTAGCAAATTCCAGACCCGTCAGAGCTACACAGCAAGATCCTATCTTAAAAAAAAAACAAAAAGCAAAATATAAAATCAGATGTTACTAGTCCATGAGATAATATCTAAGCTCAATTCATATTATAAATATTATTCAAGGTTTTAGGTTTTTCTGTTCATATTTAAAGTGTTCATTTTTATAATTATCAGTTTATAAATTATTTTCATATTTTTAAAATAAATTTCTAAAAAGCAGAAATGGCAGAGTGTTTGCTTAGCTTTTCCCAGGCCCTAATTCCTTAATATCAGGGGAATATAGTGGGGTACTTTTCTGGAAACTCAGTATTTATGAGGTAGAAGCAAAAGTTTCAAGAATTAAGGCCATTCTATGCTATCTAGTAAGTTACAGGCCAGCCTGGGCTACTTGAGAGACTATCTCAAAAACAAACAACAAATAAAAAGCATGTAAGACTTCACGCAATCTTTTTTTTTTTTTTTTTTTTTTTGCTTTTTCGAGACAGGGTTTCTCTGTGGCTTTGGAGCCTACCCTGGAACTAGCTCTGTAGACCAGGCTGGTCTCGAACTCAGAGATCCGCCTGCCTCTGCCTCTGCCTCCCGAGTGCTGGGATTAAAGGCGTGCACCACCATGGCCGGCGACTTCACGCAATCTTATGGATGGGCCCATAGCTCATCTATAGTAGGAGAGCTTGTATTGAGCATGCTCAAAAGTCCTTGTTCAATTTCTAGTACCCAAAACCCAAACCAAACAAAACCACCATATTCCCTGAAGCAAATATTTCACAAAACTTAAAGACAATTTAGTTTCAAACAATAAACAAAAATATCTTGATTCTTTAGCGACTGAATTCTGATTATCATAAAGTATACACACCACTGTCATATCTACACACTTGAAATCAACAATTCAGAAGAAAAGCACTTCTACTAGGGAATAAAAGAATTGCATGCACTATTATAATTATCTTCTAGAAAAGATACAGGACAAAGGGAAAGAATTCATGCTGACCAAGGTAGGTTTTAGTGACTGCGCTGGTGCAGTCTTTTCCAACTGACTCACGCAGTCTCTACCTCCAGAGGCTACTGCACAAAGTCCGTGCCTTCCTTCCCCTTACAGCCACAGTAAGGGCTGGGGAGGTGGCTGCGGAGTGCAGAGCACTCGCTGCTCCTGCAGAGAACTCAGGTTCAGTTCCCAGTACCCACAAGGCAGCTCACAACCATCTCTAATTCCAGTTCCAGGGGATCCAGTGCCCTCTTCTGACCTCTGTGGGCACCAGACATGCAAAAATCGGCAGGAAGACTACTCACATCAAATAAATAAATCCCTTTTTAAAAATTAAACAAAGCTGGCAGTGGTGGTGCACCCCTTTAATGTCAGCACTCAGAAGGCAGAAGCAGGCAGATCTCTGTGAGTTCAAGGCCAGTCTGGGCTATACAGCGAACTCCGTGACAGCCAGGGCTACATAGACAGATAAATATATATATTCTCTCCACCCTCCAAAAAATTTTGTTCATGAAACAGAGTTTTGTAATACGGCTTTTTCTATTCTTTTTTAAGGACTCTTGCAGTCCTAGGCTGACCTGGAACTACACAGGCCATGTTAGCCTCGAACTCAGACTGTTCTCCTCAGTCCCGAGTGCTGGTATGTGCCAACATACCTAACCACAATATGAATTTGAAAGAGAATTAGAAGGTATGTAATGCAGCTTTCTAAGAATAAAATAAAAATATAGTATCGCTGACTAAGCTCAATGCTGCCCTACATACTGCCTCAGTTTCCTTCTTTATTAGAGCACTTCCATACCAAGTTCTCTAGGTTATGCCAATTAATCACAAAGCAGAAAGGCTGGCATAAATCTGATATTTTTTGAAGTTCAGAATAAAAGACTTCATAGCTTTCAATGGCCTACTTTAAAGAAAAGGAAAGCTGCTCCATTCACTTGCTCAGCAGCTTTAGAAACAACACAAAGGCTCCATGCTGCCATGATTTTATTTTAAAGAACAATACTTGTGAAAGGCAGGTAAATACATGGGTAATAAAAGGGGAAAAATGACAGACACAATTTCATGCAAGAACTATATTAAGCAACTAAGAAACACCATCCTATTTTCCACATGTATTAGTCCTAACGCTAACCTCAAAAGTTTTCCTTTTGTCCTGATTTTATTCTTCTTTCAATCCCTTCTGGGAACGCAGAGTACCACCTCCTTCTTCATAGCTAATAAGGGATTTCAAAGAGTATCAGAAGGCAGCAATTCCTTAGCCACCTACATGTTCCAGGTGCATTCACCCCATCATTTAAATACACAAAGAATTCCCTATGTAACTGAATGTGCAGTACTAACAGTGTGTTTCTATGTTTTCTATAACTGATGTCAAACAAGGCAACAAAAGCAGTGGTTTATGGGTCAGTGAAAATCTCAAGCTGAGGACTAATGCTAGGAACCATTAAGTACTCAGTTTAATTAGACTGATATTCTGAATTATGAACTTATTTCTATACTGACCTTTGCATTTGTTCCCAATGAAAAATAAGCCTTATTGTAGCAGCGTGCCCCCAGCTTTCCCCTAAGGAAAAAAAAAAGAATTAACTATATAATACCTTTAGATTTTTCAAGTTGCTTAGAAGGTCTCTGGCCAAATACAATCTTAAATTACCAAATTTAGAATAAAAATATTCTTGAGCCAGGCGGTGGTGGTGCATGCCTTTAATCCCAGCATTCGGGAAGCAGAGGTAGGTGGATTTCTGTGAGTTCAAGGCCAGCCTGGTCTACAAGAGCTAGTTCCAGGACAGGCACCAAAAACTACAGAGAAACCCTGTCTCGAAAATCAAAAAAAATAAAAAAATAAATAAAATTGTTGGACCAGGTGGGGTAGTGGATGCCTTTAATCCCAGCTCTCAAGAAGCAGGCGGATCTCTTTGAGTTCAAGGCCAGCCTGGTCTACAGAGCAAGTTCCAGGACAGCCAGAGCAGTTATACAGAAAAACCCTGTCTTGAGAAACTAAAAAACGCAATATAAAATAATAACAAAGTATTTAGTTAAAAAAATAATATTCTTGGTTTTGACCAGGCAAACCAAGGTGGTGTATATACCTTTAATCCTAACTCTTAGGAGGCAGAGGCAGGGGAATCTCTGAGTTTGAGGCCAGCCTGGTTTAAAGAGTGAGTTTCAGGACACACAGGGCTACACAGAGAAACCGTCTCTGAAAAAACAACGTACAAAGTAAACTAAAGAATCTTCCTGGTTTCAAAACCTGTGGCACATGAGGAAAATCCTAAGAGTGATAGAGTTTTACTTCTCCAGGAGAGCAATGCAAATCACTGTCCTCTATTTGCTCCACGAAAAGATTATAGTTTCAGTATATTATCCACCTTCCATTCTATAAGGCCTACTATGTATTTCTGACACCCAGTAACAGGGTCTCATTATGGTTCTGACTGACCTGGAATTTGATAGTTAGACCAGGATGGCCTTGAATTAAGAGAACCCAGTCTGCTGCTGCCTCTGGAGTGCTGGGATTAAAGACAAGTCACCAAGGGGGTTTCATTATGCAGTCCAGGCTTTCCCGGGATTTCTGGGCTAAAGTCCCTCCTACTTCAGCCTCATGAGGGGCTGGGACTACAGTTCTGTATCATCATGTTTGGCACACAAAGTATTACTGGGTTTCAATAATACGTCAAGATAGATCTTGAAACATTGTGTTCTAATAAAATCACATTAGAAATATAGTCATGGGCTGGAGAGATGGCTCAGTGGTTAAGAGCACAAACTGTGCTCCCAGAGGTCCTGAGTTCAATTCCCAGAAACCACATGGTGGCTCACAACCATCTATAATGAGATCTGGTACCCTCTTTTGGAGAACACTATATACATAATAAATAAATCTTAGAAAAAAAAGGAAATATAGTCATACCTGTTTGCACTGGTATGATTTGTATTTAAACAGACTCCTTTCCTCCTCCTTTCCTGCCTAAGACCATGGGCTTAGGTTTTTTTAAATTTCTTTTTTATTTTAAGTAGTCAGTGCTCTTAATGGCTAAGCCACCTCTCTAGCCCCTAAGACTGAGGGGTTTGTTTGCTTGTTTTTTGAGACAGGATTTTTCTATGTAGCCCTGGCTATCCTGGAACTCTGCAGACTAGGCTGGCCTCAAACTCAGAGATCTGTCTGCCTCTGCCTCCTGAGTGCTGGAATTAAAGGTGTGTGCTACCACTGCCCAGCAAGACTGAGGTTTTAATGTCTAGAATCCTATTTTGAATATTTATTTCTCAGGTTTCTAACACAGCTGCCAGATAGCAGATACTCAATAAATGTTTGTTAAATTATGAAAGGATTAGTCGGTATCTCAGGACACTGTACTTAGTGAGCAGATGAGTCAGTGGATAAGCAGTCTCTGCTTTCAAAGCTTATAGTATTCAAATGACAAGGTAGGAAAATATTAAAATGAAAATGTTTTATCTAATTCATTTACCCACCTAATGCAGGAACAAGTAATGCTTGACTTTTATCAATCTTTGTTGTCATCTGATTTGTTAAAATAACCTATAAGAGCAAAACATTAAGAAAGTTAGGATATGCTGGACAGTGGTGGTGCATGCCTTTAGTCCCAGCATTTGGAGACAGAGGCAGATGGATCTCTATGAGTTTGCAGCCAGCCTGGTCTACACAGCTAGTTCCAGGGCAGCCAGGGCTACATAGAGAAACCCTGTCTCGAAAAACAAACAAAAAGTACATAAACAGTCCTATGAGATAATATTCTGAATATAACAAGATAAAGAAAATATATTAGAGGCTAAAGAGATGACTCAAATTCAGGACCCAGATTCAATTACCAGAACTCACATGGTGGCTCACAATTTTTAACAGTGGTTCTCAACATTCCTAATGCTTTGACCCTTTAATACAGTTCTCACGTTCTGGTGACTACCCCCAACCATAAAACTATTTTTGTTGCTATTTCTTTTTTTTCCCCAGACAGGATTTCTCTGTGTTACAGTCCTCTGTGTAACTCACTCTGTAGACCAGGCTGGCCTCGAACTCACTGAGATCCGCCTGCCTCTGCCTCCCAAATGCTGAGATTAAAGGTGTGCGCCACCACTGCCCAGCTTCATTGCTATTTCATGCCTATAATTTTGCTACTGTTAGCTGGGCGACGGTGGCGCACGCCTTTAATCCCAGCACTCGGGAGGCAGAGGCAGAGGCAGGCGGATCTCTGTGAGTTCGAGACCAGCCTGGTCTGCAGAGCTAGAGCCACAGAGAAACCCTGTCTCGAAAAACAAAAAACAAAAACAAAAATTTGCTACTGTTATGAATCATAATGCAAATATCTGTGTTTTTGATGGTCTTGGGGGGTTATGACCACAAGTTGAGAAACTGATTTATAACTTCAAATCCAGAAACCTGAAACCCTCTTATGGCCTCCTCTGGCACCAGGCACACATGTGGTACACAGACATACATGCAGGCAAAACACTCATACACACAAATTAAATAAAGCTCTTCAAAATACAATTTTTTTTCTAAATAAAGGCGAAGAGATGAAGGAGATTTGCTCATTTGTTTGAAATTTTAAAAATAAAAATTTTCGCTGCATACCACCTCTTTCTTCCTAGTCCACCCAGCTCCCATCCCCAACCCTCCCCAATTCGGCCCCACCGCCCTCTTTCGGCACATAACATCACCCAGCCCAGCCTGTCTGGGCACTGGGTCCGAATCCTTGGGGCACCCAAGCGGGCGGGAGTCTCTTTGTTTCTATTGCCTGCCTGCACCAAGCAGGGTAGGCGCTTTGTTTGCGACCTGCCCACCAGCACGGAGGCCTGATCTCTCGGCGCCAGGAGAGACAGCGTTGGGGTGAGTTTCTGGCCCCGCGGCGCCAGCCTGGGAAGGGGAGCTCAGAGGTTCCTTGGCCCCCTATTCTTCTTGGGCTCTCTGCAGGGCCTCCACTCCCTGCATACCGCCTCTTTCTTCCTAGCCCACCCAGCTCCCATCCAGAACCCTCCCCACTTCGGCCCCACCGCCCTCTTTCGGCACATAACATCACCCAGCCCAGACTGTCTGGGCACTGGGTCCGAATCCTTGGGGCACCCAAGCGGGTGGGAGTCCCTTTGTTTCTATTGCCTGCCTGCACCAAGCAGGGTAGGCGCTTTCTTTGCGACCTGCCCAACCAGCACGGAGACCTGATCTCTTGGCGCCAGGAGAGCCAACTTTGGGGAGAGCCAGCGTTGGGTAGGTAAGGAGACCTGATCCGGTAAAAGAAGATCCATAAGGGAGCATTTGGAAGAAGAGATGGGCAGACGCCAAGGCAAGGATTCGCCCAACAAGCTGAAAAGCAACATGAAGCCACCAGAAACCAGCGACCTCACAACGGGAGGACATGAACACCTTAATCAAGAAGAAGTAGAAAAGATTGACTTCATGAAAGTGATTGATACCCTTAAACAGCATGTAAAAAACGCCCTTATAGAAATGGATGAGAAATATAACAGAAAGTTTGAAGAATTGAATAAATCAGTGAATGATACCCTAGAAAACCAAGGAAAAACAATCAAACAGATAATGGAAACAGTTCAAGACTTGAAAACTGAAATGGAGGCAAAGAAGAAAACACAAACAGAGGGCAGGCTGGACATGGAAAATTTAAGTAAACAAACAGAGTCTACAGAAACAAGCATAACCAACAGAATACAAGAGTTAGAAGAAAGAATCTCAGATTCTGAAGATACCATAGAGAAAATAAACACACTGATCAAAGAAAACAGCAAGTCCAACAAACTCTCATCACAAAATATTCAGGAAATATGGGACACAATAAAAAGACCAAACCTAAGAATAATAGGAGTAGAAGAAGGAGAAGAAGTGCAGCTCAATGGTCCAGAAAATATATTTAATAAAATTATAGAAGAAAACTTTCCCAACCTAAAGAAAGATATACCGATGAAGGTTCAAGAAGCATACAGAACACCGAATAGGCTGTATCAAAAAAAAAAAAACATCCCCTCGCCATATAATTATCAAAACACAAAGCATACACAATAAGGAAAGAATATTAAGAGCTGCAAAGGAAAAAGGCCAAATTACTTATAAAGGTAAACCTATCAGACTTACACCGGACTTCTCCATGGAAACCATGAAAGCCAGAAGGTCCTGGATAGATGTACTGCAGAAACTGAGAGACCATGGATGCAAGCCCAGATTACTATACCCAGCCAAGCTTTCATTCACTATAAATGGAGAAAACAAAATTTTCCAGGATAAAAACAAATTTAAACAATACGCAGCCACAAATCCAGCCTTACAGAAAGTAATAGAAGGAAAATCACTAACCAAGGAGTCCAACAATGACCACAATAACTCAGACATCTAGAGACCCTTCACAAACACAAAACAAAGAAGGGAAACACACAAACTCTACAACTAAAAAAATGACCGGAGTTAACAACCACTGGTCATTAATATCACTTAATGTCAATGGACTCAACTCACCTATTAAAAGGCACAGGCTAAGAGATTGGATACGAAAACAGGATCCAACATTCTGCTGTTTACAAGAAACACACCTCAACCACAAAGACAGCCTCTACTCAGAGTAAAGGGCTGGGAAAAGGCTTATCAAGCAAATGGACCTAAGAAACAAGCAGGGGTGGTCATACTAATCTCTAACAAAGTAGACTTCAAACTTAAATCAATCAGAAGAGATCGAGATGGACACTTTATACTCATAACAGGAACAGTTCATCAGGATGAAGTCTCAATCCTGAACATCTATGCCCCTAATATAAAAGCACCCACATACATAAAAGAAACATTGCTAAAACTCAAGGCAGCCATCAAACCGCACACACTAATAGTAGGAGACTTCAACACTCTTCTCTCATCAATGGACAGGTCAATCAGACAGAAACCTAACAGAGAAATAAGAGAATTAATGGAGGTAATGAATCAAATGGACTTAACAGACATCTATAGAACATTCCACCCAAATAGGAAAGAATAAACCTTCTTCTCTGCAGCTCATGGAACCTTCTCAAAAATCGACCACATAGTCGGTAACAAAGCAAACATCCACAGTTACAAAAAAAAATATTAGTAACCACCTGTGTCTTATCAGATCACCATGGATTAAAGTTAGAATTCAACAACAATCCTACCCCCAGAAAGCCTACAAATTCATGGAAACTGAACAGTCAACTACTGAACCATACCTGGATTAAGGAAGAAATTAAGAAAGAAATTAAAGTCTTCCTGGAATTCAATGAAAATAAAGAAACAACATACTTAAACTTATGGGACACTATGAAAGCAGTCCTAAGAGGAAAGTTCATAGCACTAAGTGCCCACTTAAAGAAAACAGAGAAAGCTCACATTGGAGACTTAACAGCCCACCTGAAAGCTCTAGAAAAAAAAGAAGCAGACTCACCTAGGAGGAGTAGAAGACTGGAAATAATCAAACTGAGGGCAGAAATCAACAAAATAGAAACACAGAAAACAATACAAAGAATCAATGAAACAAAAAGCTGGTTCCTGGAGAAAATCAACAAGATTGATAAACCCCTATCCAAACTAATCAAACGGCAGAGAGAGAATTTGCAAATTAATAAGATCAGAAATGAAAAGGGGGACATAACCACAGACACAGAGGAAATTCAGAGAATCATTAGATCTTACTACAAAAGCCTATATGCCACAAAACTGGAAAATGTAAAGGAAATGGACACTTTTTTAGATAAATACCATATACCAAAGTTAAACCAGGACCAGGTGAACAACCTAAATAGACCTGTTAGTCGCGAAGAATTAGAAGAGGTTATCAAAAACCTCCCTACCAAAAAAAGCCCAGGACCAGATGGCTTCAATGCGGAATTCTTCCAGAACTTCCAAGAAGAACTAATACCTATACTCCTTAATGTATTTCACAATATAGAAACAGAAGAGGCATTGCCAAATTCCTTTTATGAAGCTACAGTTACCCTGATACCAAAACCGCACAAAGACTCAACCAAGAAAGAAAATTATAGACCAATCTCACTCATGAACATCGATGCAAAAATCCTCAACAAAATACTGGCAAACCGTATCCAAGAACACATTAGAAAAATTATCCATTATGATCAAGTAGGCTTCATCCCAGGGATGCAGGGCTGGTTCAACATATGAAAATCTATCAATGTAATCCATCATATAAATAAACTGAAAGAAAAAACCATATGATCATTTCATTAGATGCTGAAAAAAAATTTGACAAAATTCAACATCCCTTTATGATAAAAGTATTGGAGAGATTAGGGATACAAGGGTCATACCTAAATATAATAAAAGCTATATACAGCAAGCCGACAGCTAACATCAAATTAAACGGAGAGAAACTTAAAGCCATCCCACTAAACTCAGGAACACGACAAGGCTGTCCACTCTCGCCATACCTCTTCAATATAGTACTTGAAGTTCTAGCAATAGCAATAAGACAACATAAGGGGATCAAGGGGATTCAAATTGGAAAGGAAGAAGTGAAACTTTCGTTATTTGCAGATGATATGATAGTGTAC